ATGTATTATAATATTGTCAATTTTGAGTTTAATTATATTGTTCATTCTCAAAGTAGAAAAATATATTGTAATTATTTTAATTTAATAAAATATAATTTAAATTTTTAATACTAAAATTAAAAGATTAAATAATAATAAATTTAATTCTTTAAATTCAGTATTTAGAAACTAAAATTATAGTTTCTCTATTTTAAATAATTAAAATAAATATTTAAAAATAAAAATCAAAACTAGTATTATCTTAAATTTATTAAAAGTGTAATTAAATCTCTATTTTCTTAATTTTATTTGTTTCAAACTTCTCAATTCTATATTTTTGTAAGTTCTATCATTATATTATCATCCTCATCTCCTCCCATGTTCTACTTTATCTTTACAATAGTCAATATTCTTAAATAATTTATATTTTTAATTATAATTTTTTAGTATATATTTCATAAATTAATCAATTCTAATCTATTATTTGAAAAGCTAATCAATTCTAATCAATGATTTAGAAAACTAATCGATTATAATTAATTATTTGAAAAAATTATCAAATATGATCGATCATTTCAAAAATCTAATCGATCAGAATAAAAAAATCTGGTTGTATATGATAGCGGTTCCATTGGAACCGCTATTATATGTTCACTTTTAAGAGCGTTGAAAATATTAACCGCTCTTAAAAGTGACAAATATTTTATTTATAGACACATTTTTGCATCAGATATCGCTCGAGCGAGACCAATGTCGCTCAAGCGAAATACAACCCGAGAATGCCAATTTTGTGCAGGTGGCGTCGCTCGAGCGATGTTACTTTCGCTTGAGCGAATGTTGACCTGCGTAAACGTCGATCAAAGTTAGCCGGATAATGTAACCTGGGTGCCTCATGTTTGAATCGGATGTCGCTCGAGCGAGAATAGTGTCGCTCAAGCGAAATACAACCCGAGAATGCCAATTGTGTGCAGGTGGCATCGCTCGAGCGATGTAACTTTCGCTTGAGCGAATGTTGACCTGCGTAAACGTCGATCAAAGTTAGCCGGATAATGTAACCTGGGTGCCTCATGTTTGAATTGGATGTCGCTCGAGCGAGAATAGTGTCGTTCAAGCGAAATACAACCCGAGAATGTCAATTTTGTGCAGGTGGCGTCGCTCGAGCGATGTCATTTTCGCTTGAGCGATATTGCAAAAATCAGATATAATCATGGATTATTTTCTCATTAGCGACCGATTTTAATTCGGTCGCTATTTCAATTTGTAATTCGGTCGCTAAATCAGTCGCTAAATGATTTTTTTTATTTATGTATGAAATAGCCACCGATTTAGCGACTGAAAATTTGCGACGCACAAAAATTGGTCGCTATTTCAGTCGCTAAATGAAAAAGTGAAAACCAAATCATATTTTGGTCGCTAAATCGGTCGCTAATTGCGACTGAATTAAAGTGGTCGCTAAATCGGTCGCTAATTGCGACGAAATTAAAGTGGTCGCTAAATCGGTCTCTATATATGACTAAAATTAAATCGGTCGCTAAATCAGTCGTTAATTGCGACCGAAAAAATTCGGTCGCTAATTTCGGTGGCTAAATGTGTTTTTTCTTATAGTGCACCCTTCCCAAGGGAGGCAACTCACAAAGGATTTGATACAATCAAGGGTTCTTGAATCACTCAAAAATTTAGGACAATCACTCTCACTAAAATAAAAGAGATAAACTCTAATATTTTTGAATAAAATTCTACTTGTTATTTTTGATAAAAATGGTTTAGCTTAAAAAGAAGTTTTTCTATCAGAGTTACAAAAATTCACTAAAGGAAAATAAATACTAATAATGATTCATTAACCTAAAAATTGAAAACAACTCAATTGATGATTGTAATTGAAATTATGGCAACCAAAAGTCAATCAGTTATGCACCCTCTTGGTCTTGCAAAAGCTTATACCTAAGTTTTCAATTGGGCCCTTATAACAACTTTGAAACAAAGTCAAACTAAAGTCCATTAATTAATTAATCGAAAACATAATTTGTTCAACCAATTTCAGAAAGGATTGAGTCATTATTTAAATAAATGTAAATAATGAAACAAAGTGACGCATTAGTCCTTCTCCATTTGGGTTATGATGTAATTCACAACTTTGGTCTTTTCTCCTTGAAATGTGGGTTGGGTTTGTATTCAAATAATATGGACAATACTTGTTGAATAACTTCCTTTGCTTCCCTTACTCTAGCCCTTGTCATAGGTCATGTCCTCATCATTCTCTCCCTCTTGAAAAGGATTTGTCCTCAAATCGGATTTGTCATCTACATAAAAAAGAGATAAGTCTGACAAATTGAATGTAGAACTAACATTATACTCACTTTTTATGGTTAAATAATTTTCTCTCAATTCAAATGTTTCAATCTTCTTTTGATCATTCTTTTTCTTCTCTAGTGTTTCACTAATGTTTTATTTTTCTCTCTTCTCTTGAAGAAGTTTTTCTCTCATTTTCTTTTTATCCTCCTCTGTCATCACAATTTGATGTTCAAATCCTTAAACCGAAGCTCTGAATATCAAATAATATGAATTGTGATGTTCAAATCCTTAAACTGAAGCTCTGAATATCAAATAATATGAATCTCAATTGCACAAGGGTGATTTAAGATCTTTAGGGTTAGAATCTTGTAGGAAATTTAAGAATTTAATGATAAAGTGAAAAGAAAGAATCATTCTTCACAAAAGAGACAACTCATAAATGATGAAATTGTTTATTTGTAATTATTCGTCCATAATTATCCATTTTCAATGAACCATGGTCCATTATAATTATTCATCCATAGTTATACTTTTTTTATGGATAAGATTGTGAACATAACATAACAAAACAACCTAATATAATATAATATAATATAATATAATTATTTAAGTTGGCATGTAGGTTATGTGATGAAATGACTTACTCCACCTGGCCGAAGCTTTACCTTTTAAAGTGGTATTTGGATGCATCTCATTATCATTTTGGAGGCTCCATGTGAGGCCATTTAGAACATCATTCGTATCTTATCACCTGCGTGACCTACCACCCATTACCAAAGACGTGGGAAGAGTGGAAAAACCTACCTTCTTCCATTTTTTATTCACCTTATATAGATCAAAATGGCTTTTATATACAAATAAAATGAGGGACATCAAAATTGGATATTTTTAATTATGTTAATAATTAGAATTATTATGTATGTTATTTATGACTACTTTTTTTACCCTATTAAAAAGGAGGTCTAAACATTATCATGATGTAAAATCAGATTTTAACTCTTTTAAGCTTAAGGAAAAATAAAAAATAAAAAATTTAGGAAAAAATATCTATCAAACTAGTTCATCTATCTAGAGAGAATATATTTAATTTTTTAAATATGAAATCATACGTTTGTTCTTAATTCATACAAATAAATGTAAATTTATCCAAAAATATTCTAAAAAAAATTATATTGATAAGAAATATTTTGGTAAATAAACACTAAGAAGAAGAGATAAAAAAAAAAAAGTTATAGTTTACTTGCTCTCTCTTGTTGAAAAAAAAATACTTTGTTTATATTATACCACATAAAAAAACAATGGAGTTTAAACAAAATACTTTTTTCTTATTTTTATTTATTCTTTCATCATTCGATTATATATTAATATATTTATTTTCTCTTGATCACGTTTTTTCATTTACAATCCACAAAATTTGAACTAAAATCTCTACTTAAAAAAATTAAATTCAAAACCACACAACTAAATTCTTTCCCGAGTTAGTAGAAATTGGATAGTTGAGTTTAAATTCCACTTGTTTTAAAATTAAACTATAAATTTCAACTCACTGTAAACCCAACTTGTTATTAGTTATGAATAAATGTAATTCGACCTGAACTAACCCCTTAAACTTGAAAATAATTGGATTATAAACAAGTGATTTATATAGTGACTCACCAAATGAATATAAAATATAAATAATAAAAAAGTTATTATATACACAACATGTGAATAAAAAAAATCCACTTATTCAACATGTTGGAGGATGTCTATCCATTTGGTCAATCTATCTTGTTAATGAGTTTTTATCGTCAGACACTTGTCAAATAATATAAGTAGAATAAGTGTACTATAAATTAATTTGTTTTAAGAAACTAATTATTTTATAAGAAATCATGAAAATGTAATATTATTTCAGGACTTTAATCATTTCAATCACACCTTTAAAAAAATAATATACCCTTTCTTTTTATTAGAAATCTCACATCTTATACCATTTTTAATTATATATATTAGGTTAAAATTTTGACATGATATCAAAGGTAAAGTATTATTTTTGTTTCGTTATTATTTTAGGCCAAAAATTGTTTTTTTATTATTGGTCGAAAACACCCTCATCTAACATACTTTATTAAAAGAAGTGTGTTGAAAATTTTTCATTGTCTATCTTATTTTATATGGAAAGATTTAAATATTTATTAAGATGTCACAGGTATTATCAAATGGTTTTATATTAAAATTTTAATAATTTCTTTAACAAAAATACATAGTAAATAAGAGAAAAATATTATTACTATAACTAAAAATCAGGTAAATTTATGAATCAATACTTATGTTTCAATTTAATTAATAATTAAATCATAATAATATTTAGTTATGTTAAATACTCAAAGAAAAATGATCATAATAACATTTTATCTTCAAATTCTCATAAGTTTTTCGCTTGTAAAATTTTCCACCTAGGAAAAAAAAAAATCATGCTGGTGCTTGCATCCAAAACCAAAACTTGGTTTTGTCAGTAATGCAAATGCCAACAAATGAGACATGTACAGCGGTCATTCCGAACAAATTCAGGAGAAATTGAATATGACTTCTAACTTGTCTTCATCATATACATTATTCAAAACATTTTTAAAACTAACCAACAATTTTCAAGAAATTTCACGTAAATATACTAAGTCAACTTGCAATAAACCTTTGCAACTTTCTTCAACCATATATTCTGATCTCACAAACTTGCAAACAACAACATGAAAATTGAGGAACCAAAGCAAGAAAACCTCAACCTTTCTTCTTGTGAGAGCTTAGGGATTGTGTGCCTTTCCATGGAAATTCAGTTCCACAATCCAAAGCAGCACTTGAGATCAAAAGGGGGGAAAAAGAAAGGGAGAAACAACAAAAGCAAGAACAAGTATGTTGGGGTGAGGCAAAGGGCATCAGGGAAATGGGTTGCTGAAATCAAAGAAACAACACAAAAGATAAGAATGTGGCTTGGCACATATGAGACAGCAGAGGAAGCAGCTAGGGCTTATGATGAAGCAGCATGCCTCCTTCGTGGATCCAACACTCGCACCAACTTCATCACACGTGTGTCATTTGATTCCCCTCTTGCTTCACGGATTCAGAGTCTTCTCAATAACAGAAAAGGCACCAAAGAACAAGAACAAGACGTGGGAACATGGGTCAACACCAACCAACAGGAGTTGAGTCTAACTGAAGGAGTTAGTACCCCTCAACATCAGGAACTAAGGTTCGAATCTTCGCCACAAGATCTGTCTATGTTTAGCGTTCAACCGTGTCTCGAACAAGATTGTTGTCAAAGGAAGATATGTGTGAGAGATCAGAAGAAAAAAAGGGTTACCAGCACCACTAGCAATAGTACTATCACAAGCAACAGTGACAGATGTGAGAACTCACTTTCTAGTGAGACAACAACCCAAAACACACCACTACTTGATGATGCTTATAGGCCTGATTTGAGCAATTTCATGGGGTCTGAGTCGGATTCTCAGGACAATCCTTCATCGGGTTGTGAATCTTTTTGTGGTCATCATTTTCCCTTTGGCCAAGTAATGGATATGGCAAACCTGCCTGATATAGCTGGCTTGGAGCTTCCAGAGTTTGAAAGTATGAAGGTTGAAAGGCAAATTTCAGCTTCACTTTATGCAATGAATGGTGTGCAGGAGTACATGGACACTGTTCAAGACTCCAACAGTGAAGCTATGTGGAATCTTCCACCCTTGTGCTCATTTTTGCGTTAAACCTCAGGTCTAAGTATGATCCTTCAAACCTTTCTTCCAATATCTATGCGGATTTTGTTCCTTTTTAGTTTATTTTTGTTTTCACATTCGAAAGTAGGATCTGAACACTGATTGAAATGTTACGGTAACTAAACTCTATTCATATATTGCATATCTTTTAGTTGCTTCATGAATTAGTTCGGTTGATTGATAAAATTTAAAATAATATTATAGTTTTTTTACTAAACAGGTTAAAAAAAATATATTTAATTTTAAACAAGGGGTCAAAAATAGAAAATTTTATCAGAGTCTAAATCCTGCTAGGTGGAGGGAATTTGGCAAGAAAAAATTGTACTAGTTGCCCTAGTAAGGGGTTTTTACGTCAGGTATTTTGGACTTTTTACGTCGTATTTAAGACTGACGTTAAAATGGAGGACGTAAATTTACGTCAGATCCCTTAGCCCGACGTAAATTTACGTCAGTTATCGAGACTCGACGTTAATTTACGTTGCATATACTACTAAACAAACAAACGTAAAAAGTTTCGAAAATAAAAAAAAGGAGCAAATGTCGCGTATACCAATATGCAACGTAAATTTGCTCCATTTTAAAAAAAAAATAGGTTTATTTTGTCTTACAACCAAAACCTACAAATATATATTATAACCAGACAGTCTAGAGGTTCAAGTTTCTTTAGCTAGTAAATTAAAAATATAATATTATATATAATTCAAACTACATAATAAAACAATATAATACAAACAATAACCTACAAACTAATATCTATTACAAACTAAAAGTTAGTACAAACTAAGCTACCTAAACTACATAATACACACAGTATAATATGAACAAAAACCTAAAAAATTAAGTACTAGAATTGTTGAATGAAAAACCTTGTTCATTGTTCTCTAATTTGTGTTATATCATATTCTGGCAATGGAGATGGATCTTGAAATATCTGAAACATTTAATTTGACTCTTATAAACATGCAACATGCATAAAGTTAAATAAACTTAACTAATGCTGAAAGCAATTACCTCCGTCCAAGAATCAGTTATACTCGCACAAACTATGACTTTCATCCAATAACATAGTAACCACATTCAAATGAGTCTGTTTGCTTATTACACTGAAATGATGAATAAAACATAATGTTATTTTCAAAATTTAAATACAAACAATAATTATGATATTCACTTATATAAATAAGTTTATAATCTTAGGATAAATGAATTGCAAAGTCTTTGTTCGGGTTTTCCACTTAGAACATTAGTTCCAAACACGATTCTAAGTGAAAAAAAGTTATATATTATTCAATATGTATTTACAATTTAAAAACATCATTAATGAATAAAATATAAAGTTACCCTTGTAACAAACTTTTCATTTCTTGACTCGGTTTCCGATGTAATGAACAAAATCACACCATAGTGTAATCCCGGACATGATTACAATTAACTGTCAATGGGACCTATATTATATAACATAAAAATTAGTTATAAAAATTTAAATTAAAATACAAATTAAAATACTAACCCTTCAATGTATGGAGCCAAATACATGTCTTTTTGAGTCACTCATCCATGTTTGCATATATTGTTGGATTCCAACCTTTGTATTTCTAGATTTTTGGATGGATTGAGGCTCAATAAATTCGTATACTTCAGATTTTTCTTTTTCCACACTCAATTTGTCAATGTACCTAAAACAATTAATTATAAGTTGAATATAATTATTATAATCTTAGAAACATAAATGAAAATGACTTACATTGCCCACAATTGTATGATGGAAATGTTTAACATGCAATTTCCCCTAGCAATTTCTAATGCATCGGGCAAGGAAATGTGTAATGGAACATTGGAATTGTCAATTCCAAACACTCTAATCTCCCACTGTATCTGAAACGGTCTCTTCCTCAACCATGGTAATATGGTCAACAACATAGATATGGGATCATCCTCACATTCTGTCATATCCTCATCAATAATAGGTTGTTTCTTATGCTTAGCATGACGCAAGTCCTCCTAAACAAATGATAACAATTAATTAAACATTTATATAAATATAATACTAGAAAAGATAAAATGGACAATATATATATATATATATATATATATATATATATATATACATATATATTACATTGGTCCGTACTGATAGTGGCATAACCAAACATCTTGGCCAAGCCAAGAATGTCCCGCTTGCCTGCCCTACTAATTGAATCTCTTCATTAGGAAAAGGAACTAGAGCATCAACATCATGAACTTCATCAACTACTACTCGTGTCCAGTCTGCCTGTAGAGGGACACCATGGATGGTTAAGCCACCCTCAAAAACTCAACCAATAGCCACTAGACGCGGGGGGTCATCTTCAACATATAACTCACACTGGTGTTGATATGAATCTCAATTACACAAGGGGTAATTTAGGATCTTTAGGGCTAGAACCTTGTAAGAAATTTAGGAATTAAAAAAGAAGGTGGAAGGAAAGAATCACTCTTCCCAAGGGAGGCAACACACAAAGCATGTGACAGTCCTTTGATACAGCCAAAGGTTCTTGAATCACTGAAGAATTTAGGAGAATCACCCTCACTAAGATAAAAGAGATAAACTCTAATATTTCTGAATAAAATTTCACTTGTTATTTCTTAATAAAAATGGTTCATCTGATATAGAAGTGTTGCCATCAGAATTACAAAAGACTCAATAAAAGAAAATAAATACTAATAATAACTCATTAATCTAGGAATTGAAAACTATTTAACGGAAACAAATAAAGGCTAATAATGATCCATTAACCTAGGAATTGAAACTTCTTAATGACTGATTGTATCTGAAACTGTGGCAACCAAAAGTCAATCAGCTATGCACCCCTTGGTCTCCCAAAGGCTGATGATTAAATTTTCAATTGGGCCCTTATTACAACTTAAAACAAAATCAAACTAAAGCCCATTAATCAATTAATTCAAAACATAATTTGGTCAACCAACAATATTTGTTGAAGAACTTCCTTTATTTCCCTTGCTCTAGCCCTTATCATAGGTCATGTTCACACCATTCTCTCCCTCTTGAAAAGGATTTGTCGTCAAATCAGATTCGCCATCTACATAAAAAAGAGATAAGTCTGACAAATTGAATGTAAAATTAACATTATACTCACTTTTTATAGCTAAATAATTCTCCCTCACTTCAAATGTTTCACTCTTCTTTTGATCACTCTTTTTCCTCTCAAGTGTTTCACTAACGCTTTCTTTCTCTCTCTTTTCTTGAAGAAGTTTTTCTCTCATTTTTTTTATCCTCACACACTTCTTGTGGACTCAAAGGTTTGAGCACAATCTTCTTGTCTTGGTGCATGAAAGAAATCTTGTTGGTGAACCCGTTATGATTAACTCTTTTATCAAATTGCCATGGTCTCTCCAAAAGTAAGTGACTAACTTCCATAGGAATAATATCACAAAGCACCTTATCATTGTATTTTCCAATGGAAATGTCCACTTCAACTTGTTGTCTCACTTGCATCTCTCCATCCTTACTAAGCCATTGAAGTTTATATGGCCTAGGATGTGGTTTGGTAGCTAAATTTAGCTTTGATACTAATCTAGCACTAGCCACATTGGTGCAACTACCTCCATCTATGATCATCATGCACACCTTGTCATTGATTAAACATCTAGTGTGAAAAATATTTTTTCTTTGACTTTCTTCCATAGGTTTCAATTGACTATCAAGTAATCGCCTAATCATCAATAAATCTCCCTTTGGAATCTACTCCTCCTCCTCAGTGTCTTCACTCTTTTCTCCCTCTTCAACCTCAGATTCACTTATATATTCTCCCTCTCTAAGAATCATGGTTTTTGTGTTAGGACACTCATAAGCATAGTGTCCTAGGCCTTGACACTTGAAACACTTCACATCTCTACTTTTTTTAGAGGGTTGTTCTTCATATTTTGAATGAGTCTTTGTAGGAATAGGTTTGGAACTACTAGAAGTAACAGTCCCATCTTTCTTGCCTTTGTCCTTCCAACTTGAAAATCCAAAGTTGGTAGAACTCTTCTTAGTCATTTCTTTTCTTTTGAGTTGTTGTTCCACTCGAATTACTTTATGAAGTAAATCTTCCATATCAACAAACTCCTGCAACTCAACAATATCACATTTATCAATATTCAAACCACCAATAAATCGGGTCATAGTTACCTCTTCATCTTCTTCAATCTTTGCTTGAATCATGAGCATGTCCATTTCTTTGAAATACTCCTTAACCCCCCTGTTGCCTTGAGTAAGTTTTTGGAGTTTAAATTTCAAGTCCCTTGCATAACTAGCCGGCACATACCGCTTCCTCATGATCCTTTTCATCTCAGTCCATGTATCAACCATTGACTCTTCATTTCTATCTCTCTCCTTTTGTAGCTTGTTCCACCAAACAAGAGCATAGTCAGAAAATTCCGTTGTTGCAAGTCTCACCTTTTGGGTCTCCTCATAATTGTTGCATGAGAAAACATGCTCTATTTTCATCTCCCACTCCAAGTATGTCTCTAGATCACTTTTTCCTTTGAATGGAGGAATATTAAGTTTGACTCCTTCAAGCCTACTTGGTCTTGCTACTTCATAATTCATTCTCCTATTTCTCCTTTCTTCTTCGTCTTCAAGATTTCTATTCTCTAACCGGTTCAATCTTTCATGGAGCTCATTGTTATGTCGTATCATTAATCTTTCCAAATGTTGTACCAATACTCTCATTTGTAATGGACTAATTCCTGCTTCTTAATTGTAATTTTCCTCTTCTGCCATCAATTTGATGTTTAAACCCTTAAACCAGGGCTTTGATACCAACTGATATGAATCTCAATTATACAAGGGGTAATTTAGGATCTTTAGGGTTAGAACCTTGTAAGAAATTTAGGAATTACAAAAGAAGGTGGAAGGAAAGAATCACTCTTCCCAAGGGAGGCAACACACAAAGGATGTGACAGTCCTTTGATACAGCCAAGGGTTCTTGAATCACTCAAGAATTTAG